GAGGGGAAGGAGTTTGTGAGCCGCTCTGAGACACCTTTGGGTAGTGAAGGGCGGGGTATAAATCCAATCTCCTCCTCCTCTTCTTCTTCTCAAAATGAAATTCCTCAACTAGTTATTGATCTTGGATTATGATGGATTTTAAGGTTTGATTCTTTTGATTTAAGCTACCCCTCAACAATAGTTAAATAGTTAAGAGTTAATGAATACTGACTGTGGATTCAGTGTAATGTTAATATATTATATCATTGTTTTGGATTGTGAATTGTATTTCTACTACTCCGTATTATTCCAATGGAGCTATATTGCTATCGGTTGATTTTCAATAAACTGTCAATTAAAAAACAACCAACATGATATATTTACGAAGGAAATACCAGTCTCTTTTTTTGGGATTTTCAAAGATAGATATTAATACATTTCTGTACATTCACGAACAAGAACAAACGTCGAACAATGATTCCCCAATGGTTTCTTTTTACATTTTTTTTTTTTTTTTACAATGGTTGATTCCTAGGGTTGCCAAGTAGTACTCACCTCTGGAGCGGGGGACTCCCGGGTGGTTCCCGGAGCGCGCGCATACGCGCCGCATGCCCGTCACTAGGGAGTGACGTTATGACGCCAGGTACGCTGGGGGTGGGGCAACGACCATCCAAGGGGGAACCATAGAGTTTCCCCTTGGATGGCCGTGGCCTCGCCCCCAGCGTGCCCGGTGTCATAACGTCACTTCTCTGTGACGTGCACGCCGGGGGTGGGGTTCCCCCCGGGGCCCGATTCCATGGCGGCGGAAATCGGGCCTCCAAAGCGGGGGTTTACCCACCACCCGCCCCCACTTGGCAGCCCTATTGATTCCCCAATGTTGACAAGCACAGTCCAATAATCGAAAGTTCTCCTCTGTTGCAGGAGTCGGCCTGGTCCTCTTCACCTCAAGCGCCATCCAATGCAAATAAAGGGCGACAAACAGTAAATCGTCTTTGTGTCTTTCCTGTATTATCCAAGCCTTTGAGAGAAAATACACAGAGAGGACGCCGAACAAGAGAAGATTTCAATAGTGTGAGTGTTACTCAGGGAGACAACATGCAGAAACGAATGCTGAGCGGGAAAGGATTGACTGAGGTCGCGGTCACACGAGCCAGAAAAACGGAGTGGGGGGAGCAAGGCTATTCCCTCTGGAGGAATTTGACCCACGGTTGCACGATCACACAGTCCTTTGAAGCTGCGGGGGCAGCCTGCCACTGCGTGATCAGACGCAACTGCGGGTTAGTTTGCTACCGGACTTCCCCCGGTGTCTTTTAACTTCGCTTCTGTGGCGGAGCAAAACGGGTTGCCGATGGCTGCGGGGCTCTTCCCAGATGTTGTTGTCTGACCGTGCCCTCTAAATCCGCCCGGCATTCGCGCCTATGTCGGGGATAATTGTGCGTATGATCACAGCCTGAGTCTACACATATTCTGCTCCAGGGCTTTTTTTTGTAGAGAAAGCCCAGCGGGAACTCATTAGCATAATAGGCCACACCCAACAGCAGAAACGCATTCGCATAATAGGCCACACCCCTGACAGAGCAGCTCATTGGCCTATTAGGCCACACCCCCACGTTACCAGAAGTGTGGTCATCCAGCCACACCCACCTTTTGCTTCTTATTCTGTTTACCTTGTTTGTTGTCAAAACCCAGGGCCTTTTTTTGTAGCAGGAACTCCTTTGCATGTTAGGCCACACACCCCTAATATAGCCAATCCTAATGAGTTTCTGCTGTTGGGTGTGGCCTATTATGCTAATGAGTTCCCGCTGGGCGTGGCCAACTCGGGAGCCAAGCGGAACTCCGTTCCTGTGTGTTCCGGCCGAAAAATAGCCCTGTATTTGCTCTGAGGAAGCCTATTGAAACAGGCGTCGGAGCAAGCCTGTCTGCAGATTTGCGAGCTTTTCTGCTATTTGTTCACAATTCAATTGTAATACAAGAAAGACACACAGAAGGTTGATTGACCGTTGCACTCTATTTCCGTTGGATGACGTTTGAGGTGAAGAGGACCAGGCAGACGCCTGCAACAGAGAGGAACTTTAGATTACTGGACTGTGCTTGTCAGCATTGTGGAATCATTTCTCTGACGTTTGCTCTTGCTTGTGAATGTACAGAAATTTATTAAGATTTATCTATTTTTGAACATTCAAAAAAAATTGTGATATTTACTCTGTAAATGTATCACGGTTGCCTTTGACTATTTTCCACTCACTTATCCCGTGATCTCTCTTTGGTTACTCTCAACCAAAGGCCTGGCGGAACAGCTCCGTTTTACAGTCCCTGCGGAACGGCAATAAATCCCACAGGGCCCTGAACTCAGTTGGGAGCATGTTCCACCAAGCTGTAGCCAGAGCTGAGGCGAAGCAGATGTCTTTTGGGCCAGGTTAGGACTAAGAACATAAGAACATAATAGAAGCCAATGTTGGATCAGACCAATGCCCCATCCAGTCCAACACTCTGTGTCACACAGTGGCCAGAAATACCAGGTGCCATCAGGAGGTCCAGCAGTGGGGCCAGGACACTAGAAGCCCTCCCACTGTTGTCCCCCCCCCCAAGCACCAAGAATACAGAGCATCCCTTGCCCCAGACCGAGAGTTCCTATCTATACCTTGTGGCTAAGAGCCACTGATGGACCTCTGCTCCATATGCTTATCTAATTCCCTCTTGAAGCCGTCCACGCTTGTAGCCGCCACCACCTCCTGTGGCAGTGAATTCCATGTGTTCATCACTCTTTGGGTGAAGAAGGACTTCCTTTTATCTGTTCTAACCCGACTGCTCAGGATAATCCTGCACACAGAGAGCTTTCTAGTACCGGACAAAGCTAGTTTTCTATGTGCACTGCACTGAGAAAACATTCAGTCCTCCCCCTGAAGTGGTACAAGCAGGGGTCATTCCGTAGAGAAAGAGGTGCAGGAGCTCAGTAGCATAACTCATTAGCATAACTTATCTGCATCTGCCACACCCCCTGACATCACCGGAAGTGTGTCAAAAGGCAACACCCACTGCTCAGGCTCCACTGGACTGTTTTGGATTGCTAGCTATTGGGGGGGGGGACGTACAGATCTCTCCTCGTAGAGGAGGGAGAGCTTGTACCTGAATAAAACTTGGTCTTAAAGGTGCCACTGGACCTATGGGGGAGGGGAACATGCAGATCTGTCCTCACAGAGGAGGGAGAGCTTGTACCTGAATAACCCTTGGTCTTTGAATGTGCAGATCTGACCTCACAGAGGAGGGAGAGCTTGTATCTGAATAAACCTTGGCCTTAAAGGTGCCACTGGACTCTTTTGGATTGCTAGCTATTGGGGGGGGGGAACGTGCAGATCTGTCCTCACAGAGGAGGGAGCTTGTATCTGAATAACCCTTGGTCTTAAAGGTGCCACTGGACTGTTTTGGATTGCTAGCTATTGTGGGGGGGAACATGCAGATCTGTCCTCACAGAGGAGGGAGAGTTTGTACCTGAAGGCGGGCCTGGGGGGGGGGCTCTGTAACTTACCTGGCTGCTTCTTCTTGCTCCTCGTGGCCCGACTGAGGGCTGCTGGGAGCAGGGGGTGGGGCTTATTGCATGTGCTGGCCCCCTGGGCTCCTTACTGCCAGAGCTCCACTCCTGTACGCTCCCACAGGAAATGACCACTGGGTACAAGCCAGCTAGACTCCCGTGTGATTTGCCTGGCTATGTGACCCAGATCATGATACTCCTGGTGAAGAGTACATAACAGCAAAACCCAGAGCAGGGGAGAAGCAAGACAAGACTCACTCGTCTCCTGGTCCGGGGGCTCGATGTTGTATCCGTAGCCAATCAGGGTGCGCACCGCCTCGCGCAAGCTGTCTCGGTTGGTCTTCTTCGTTCGCTCGTCCAGCAGGCTGTAAGGCACCAGGCGGGGGTTGCGTTTGTTTTTGATGTCCTAAGGGGTCCGGAGAGGGAAAGGAACGCACACGCTCACATACACGGTGCAAATCAAACATCACAAAGCACAGTGTTCCTGGACAGAACGCGACAGGGCAGGGCCCCCCAACGTGGTGCCCATCCACCGATCATTTTCTTGGTACCCCGCCAAGTGTTTTTGAGAAAGTGGGCAGGGCCAGGTGCAGTGTTCCCTCTAAGCAGAGTTGGTGTGAGCCAGCTCACAGTTTTTTAGCCCCCGGCTCACACTTTTTTGTCTCCGCTCAGGAAGGAGGGCTCCAGAGCCAACTGATTTATGCAGCGGCCAAATCGCCCGCTCACAGCTTTAATGCCGGTAGCTCACAAAGTAGAATTTTTGCTCACAAGACTCCACAGCTTAGAGGGAACACTGGCCTGGTGGCACTCTGGCCTAGCAAGGCTTCTGATTGGCCGCTGGAGATTTAATCGGCTGTGCAGATTTTTAAAAACATCGCTATGGGCGCAGCTGCCACCGTGACACAAGGATCTTCGCTGTGTGACTGGAGGTAAGCTTTAGCAGCCATTTTGCAACTGGCTCCGCCTTCTATGACCGCCATTTCGTAGCTGTGCCCACCATGCTGTGTCAGAATTCCAGAGGTGCCCGCAGGCTGGGGACCCCTACAGTAGGGTATCCCCTCTCCATCTCTGGCTCATACCCCCATCTCTGCCTTAAACCAGAAGCTCCTCGTTTTTGGCTCATCCTTCTAGCATCGGACTCATCTCTCCTCCCAAGTGAGGCGCACCCCAGCGGGTTGTGGCTCTCCAGGTTCATCCCGCAGCCACCCACTCAACTCCACCCCCGTGTCCAGCACCATCCCCTCCGGAATCCAGTACCTGTACGGCGCTGTAGGTCCACCCCTGCTGGACGCGGTCTCTTGCCCAGACGTTGTGCCCATTCTCGGCCAGCTTGTCTACCAGGGTGTTCTGGGCTGGAGTCAGTTTGACGTGGTTGAGATCCAGCGGCGCCGGCTTGTAGCCGTTGGACATCATGTATCTGTCGGATAAAATAGCTAAATGTAACCCAACATACTCTAAAAATTGCTGGAAATGTAAAAACAACATTGTAACTTTTTTCATATGTGGTGGAGATGTGAAAAAATACATAGATTTTGGAAGATGATACAGAAGATTATCTTTAAAATAACAAATGTTAAAATTGAATTGCTACCTGAAATTGTGTTGTTAAATATGTTACCGGAAAGTTTTAAACGGAAAGACAAATATATGATAATTTTTGTACTCACAACTGCAAGAATTTTATGGGCTAGATATTGGAAACAAGAACATGTTCCTACGCAAGATGAATTAATATCACAATTAATGGAAATGGCAGAGATGGACAAGTTGAGTTTAATCCTTCAAGGAAAGGATGAAAAAATATTGCAGAAAGATGGAAGCGTTTTTATGACTGGATTAAGGCAGAGGGATAATAATAGACTCTTGATTATGTATGAATATATGTTATGGAAGTGTATTTCTGTTTATAGAAAAATGAAAATAAAATCATTTTTAAAATGTATCTGTCAGAGAGGAGGTCAATAATAAACACAGCGGGACCACGGAGATACTGCACTCAATGAAACAACCACAAAATATCCCATGAAATGCTACCACTCAAGGTTTTTATAAAGGCGTATGTTTAACACAATGCATAAATCAAAAACAATACAGGAAATAAACGTTCCAGTTAGCTCCACTAATACTTATGACTAACCACGGAAAGCCTTCCGAGCCAGACACAGTCCATAGATACACTGTGGTCTTAAACCTTATGGTTTAAATAATGAACTTGACTTTTCCTCCTATTTGTAACCTCATACTTTGTGTTAAATACTCTCTGTGACTTTAAATGTACTCTGGTATCAGTAATGATATGGATACAATTAGCCTTAAGTATGCCAGATGAGGCAGTGCATGCAAGAACCATTTGTCATTAGGAGTGTATGAGCCCATTTGGGAGAAAGAAGAATGTTTAAACAGTATGGGTTAGTCGGGTGCCAGATTGGAAACACTGATTGTTGAAGTGTTTATAAATATTGTACACTACATGTTTGCTTGCTTTGTTATTAGTTCCATAAGAATTTGGCTCTGAAGAAGAAACATCGTCGAAACTCTCGCGGCCGACAAGAGAAGTCAGCTAGCCTGTTACAGCCTCCTTGCAGACCTGGAAGTTGGCAACTGAGAAAAAATGGCTCTTCGGCTGTGAAACGGAGATGAGCACCGCAACCCTAGAGTTGGACTCGACTGGCTTTCAAGCAAGGGAACCTTTACCTTTACTATCAGTAATGATATGGACACAATTAGCCTTAAGTATGCCAGATGAGGCAGTCCATGCAGGAACCATTTGTCATTAGGAGAAAGAAGAATGTTTAAACAGTATGGGTAAGTCGGGTGCCAGATTGGAAACACTGATGGTTGAAGCGTTTATAAATATTGTACACTAGATGTTTGCTTGCTTTGTGATTAGTTCCATAAGAATTTGGCTCTGATTTGCCCATGCGGGCGATCTCCGGCTTTTTTTTTTTTTGAACGTTCGCTTTATAGCGCTATAGCACTATAGCACTATAACAAAATACTCCAGGCATTCCAATGGGGTTGATATACTGCTGTTCCCTTATAGTGCTATAACGCTATAAAGCAAACATTTTTTTAAAAAAAGCCAGAGATCGCCCACGTGGGAAAAAGCACATTGGAACCGGGAGAGGAAACTGAAGACTACTTGGAAGCGGTTGACAGGTAAAACGCTTCAGCCCCGTTTCCTAAACGGGACAGAAGTGTTTGTGTCTGAAATTACAAATATATTCCAGTAGGGAACCGGTTCTAAAATGGTTCTGTCTGAAATGACAGACCAGAAACCGTTTGGGAACCGTTCCTCTTCCAGATTATATCGTCTGTCTGAAATTCCTCAGTGTTATCTATGGACTGTGTCTGACTGGGAAGGCTTTCTGTGGATAAATAGTCATAAGAGAGGAGGTCAAAGCAGGGCTTTAGCACATCCCAGAAGCCATATCTTCCTGCCTGTTCTTACCTACTGATAGGGCTCCCATTCCCCAGGCCGGATCCCCCACTTTTTGGTTCTTCGGCCCACCGCCCCCAAACGCGGAAGTGACGTCATCACATCAGAGACATCGTGCAGGGATGCTCTGGTTTTTGGGGCAAAACTCTATGGTTTGAGGGGCCATCTTACCATAGAATTTTGCCCTCAAACCAGAGCACCGCTGTGCAACGTCTCTGATGTGATGACGTCCCATCCGGATGACATCATCACATCGGGGATGTCACTGCACAACATTGCTGTTTGGGGTGAAGCGCCGCCCCACTCCCGGAAGGCTCCCTCCTGCCCCCTGCCGGCGCGTCGTGAAGACCTGGCAACCTTACTACTGAGCCAGCACACTGGACTATTTGAGGCCGCATTCCCACTTTCTTTCCCAACACTGGCCTCTATCCTGCCACTCAGTTCAGCCAAGTCTTTCTCCAGCCTAAAGGAGTCGTCCCTCCAACTTGCAGCTCTTCCGCTAGTGGGACAGCCACCCGAATTGGAGGATGGATCCAAACTTTGCTGTATGGAATGGCGTGACCGACCGACCTTTCAAAGCTTATAAGTGCTGTGTAAACATGCAATGGACTGTGAAGGGTTAAATGCTGCACAGAGCCAGAAATCCTTGAGTGACAGGCTAAACATGTAATGGACTGTGAAGGGTTAAATGCCCCACAGAGCCAGAAATCCTTGAGTGACAGGTGAAAAGGAATTTGATTGGTTAGAGTCAATCCCCAAGTCTTTCTGCTCGACTGACGCTAACCAATCAAGTTTAAAGTTTTTCACACGGTCTTGGAATCTTTGAGAGGAGAGGTTTTTGTTTCACGGTGTTTTCTAAACACTCCAGTACACTTTCTTGAGTTTAACAGAGTCTTCAGGTTTCAAAAGGCAGGGATACACGACCAAGTGCCCAAATCCCTTCTCTGAGCACACCAGGGAATTACTCCACTCTTTAGGAGCTGCGGTGGCTCAAGTGGCTAAGACGCTGAACTGCAGGCTGTGGAAGGTCAGTAGTTCAGCAGTTCGAGACCCGGGTGCCGCATGACGGAGTGAGCTCCCGTCTCTAGTTCCAGCTCCTGCCAACCTAGCAGTTCGAAAGCAAGAAATTGCAAGTAGATAAATAGATACCACTTCGGTGGGAAGGGAACAGCGTTCCGTGTGCCTTGGTGTTTAGTCATGCCGGCCACATGACCACGGAAACGTCTTCGGACAGCGCTGGCTCTTCGGCTTTGAAACGGAGATGAGCACCGCAACCCTAGAGTCGGATTCGACTGGCTTTTGAGCAAGGGAACCTTTACCTTTACCTTTAGAGCTGTTTCCCTTATCATCTGGACAAGGAATCACTTCTTTAACTAGAAGAGAATCTCTTGAACTTCTGCACCAAGCCCCGGCACAGTCTGAAAGGGCCAATTCTATGTGTCGGCCAGAACCAGACAACCAGATTACTTACGTTTTGGGAAGCTTCGTCTTCTTGAGGTTTTCTTCGGCCTTCTCGTCTGCCATTCCCACGTGGCAGCCCAAAGCAAGCAAGGTCCTGGTGGGGGGGCACAGAAAAGGTCAAATAAGCTCTCGCGGCAGACTCGGATCCCCTCCTTTCCCTCCTCTCCACGGACACCCCTCAGTCAGAGAAGGCGCAACACAATTTGAGTGCCGAGGAAGATCCCATTGTTCTATCGGGATGCAGAATTTAGCTTATCTCAAAGGAGTCACAATAAAGTCACCTTGGGGACAGCCCTCGCTTTATCCCCTGACTTGATTCACAAAGCCACCCTGCCTCTTCTGTTCTGCTTAACTTTATAGAAGAAGAAGAAGAAGAAGAAGAAGAAGAAGAAGAAGAAGAAGATGATGATGATATTGGATTTATACCCCGCCGTTCACTACCCAAAGGAGTCTCAGAGCGGCTGACAATCTCCTTTCCCTTCCCCTCCCCACAGCAGACACCCTGTGAGGTGGGTGGGGCTGAGAGAGCTCTTGACAGAAACGGCTCTTTTTCAAGAACAGCTCTGACAAAACTATGGCTTGCCCAAGGTCATCCAGCAGCTGCGAGTGGAGAAGTGGGGAATCAAACCCGGTTCTCCTAGATTGGAGTCCTCACACCTAACCACTACACCAAACTGCAACCATTTATTGCGGTAATGGAAGAGGAAGAAGAGATTGGATTTATACCCCGCACTTCACTACCCAAAGGTGTCTCAGAGCGGCTGACAATCTTCTTCCCCTTCCCCTTCCCCTCCCCACAACAGACACCCTGTGAAGTGGGTGGGGCTGAGAGAGCTCTTGACAGAAACGGCTCTTTTTCAAGAACAGCTCTGACAAAACTATGGCTTGCCCAAGGTCATCCAGCAGCTGCGAGTGGAGGAGTGGGGAATCAAACCTGGTTCTCCCAGATCAGAGTCCGTGCACTTAACCACAACACCAAACTGGTTCTCTTTATAGACTCTATTGTTGCCAAGACATTATCTCCAAGGGTAAAGGGCGTGCTAAGCAATGAAGCGCATGCCACTTCAGGTGTCCATGACTCCCACGTGGAGACTAGATCATACCCCTTCTTAAAGTGATAATGGACCCACCACCAATTTAAACTGACCACCAATCTCTCCCATGCGCTTCCGGGCTTTCCCACCACTGTGTGCAGTTCTGGTCACCACACCTCAAAAAGGATATTGTGGCTTTGGGAAAAGTGCAGAAAAGGGCAACTCGAATGATAAAAGGGTTGGAACACTTTCCCCATGAGGAAAGGTTAAGGCGCTTGGGGCTCTTTAGCTTGGAGAAACGACGACTGAGGGGTGACATGATTGAGGTTTATAAGATTATGCATGGGAAAGAGCAGGTAGAGAAAGAGGTACTTTTCTCCCTTTCTCGCAATACAAGAACTCGTGGGCCCTCCATGAAATTGCTGAGCTGTCAGGTTAGAACAGATAAAAGGAAGTACTTCTTCACCCAAAGAGTGACTAACACATGGAATTCACTGCCACAGGAGGTGGCGGCGGCTACAAGCATGGACGGCTTGAAAAGGGAATTAGATAAGCATATGGAGGAGAGGTCCATCAGTGGCTATTAGCCACAAGGTATAGATAGGGACTCGGGGGCAAGGGATGCTCTGTCTTCTTGGTGCTTGGAGGGGGGGGTCAACAGTGGGAGGGCTTCTAATGTCCTGGCCCCACTGGTGGACCTCCTGATGGCACCTGGTATTTCTGGCCACTGTGTGATACAGAGTGTTGGACTGGATGGGCCTTTGGCCTGATCCAACATTGGCATCTCTTATGTTCTTATGTTCTTATCTACTCACTTGAGTGTCTCCCCCGACATCTGCAGGTTGTAATTGCGTTCTGGTTCCGGCAGGCTGTGGAAATCTAGCAAACACGGGTGCAAACGCTTGTTGTCGTCCCGGATCTGAAAGGGGTAAAGAGGCACACATCGCGGTTCAGGTACCCCTGAAAACCCGATCCCTCACTTACAGTGAGTTAAGAGAAACGCTGAGGGTTTTTTTTGGGGGGGGCTGGCATCTCTCAGGGACACTCATGCGTCTTTTTCACCCACAAGGGGCAGCAAATGGTATTTCTGGCCACTGTGTGATACAGAGTGTTGGACTGGATGGGCCTTTGGCCTGATCCAACATTGGCATCTCTTATGTTCTTATGTTCTTATCTACTCACTTGAGTGTCTCCCCCGACATCTGCAGGTTGTAATTGCGTTCTGGTTCCGGCAGGCTGTGGAAATCTAGCAAACACGGGTGCAAACGCTTGTTGTCGTCCCGGATCTGAAAGAGGCAGAGAGGCACAAATCGCAGTTCAGGTACCCCTGAAAACCCAATCCCTCACTTACAGCAAGTTAAGAGAAACGCTGAGGGTTTTTTTGGGGGGGGGCTGGCATCTCTCAGGGACACTCATGCGTATTTTTCACCCACAAGGGGCAGCAAAACTCACCGGTCCGTAAGTCCATCCTTGTTCAATGCGGGTCAAGGCCCAGAGTTCATGGATATTCTCCGCCAACTTCTCGCGGATCCGTTCGAGATGGGGGGGCAATACAATCTGCAAAGAAGCGAAGGAGAATGGTTCACCTTGAGGAGTACGAATGGCCCTAAAAGGGTTCCTGCCTGCTGAATATTTATGCCTGACTCTTGGCCAATATGGTGTCAAGAGATGTCAATGAGAAAAGCCCTCTGCAAGCACGAGACACAGGACAACTTGCAGAAGATAGTAACCATGCCAGGAAGTTCTATTTATTGCGGCAGAATATTCACTGTGTCAGAAACTTTTGTGACTCACAGCCCGCTTCATCAAATCCACGACACTTTACCTGTAATTGGCAGAAATATATATGTATACACACACACACACACAGAGTATAAACAGAAGGAGTGAGGGGGTGCTATTACAAAGTGAGATTTGAAGGACAAGCGGTCCAAGGTTTAGGGATGTGACATTACTTTATGGACAAAGAAGATAAGTCCATCCTTGTTCAATGCGGGTCAAGGCCCAGAGTTCATGGATATTCTCCGCCAACTTCTCGCGGATCCGTTCGAGATGGGGGGGCAATACAATCTGCAAAGAAGCGAAGGAGAATGGTTCACCTTGAGGAGTACGAATGGCCCTAAAAGGGTTCCTGCCTGCTGAATATTTATGCCTGACTCTTGGCCAATATGGTGTCAAGAGATGTCATTGAGAAAAGCCCTCTGCAAGCACGAGACACAGGACAACTTGCAGAAGATAGTAACCATGCCAGGAAGTTCTATTTATTGCGGCAGAATATTCACTGTGTCAGAAACTTTTGTGACTCACAGCCCGCTTCATCAAATCCACGACACTTTACCTGTAATTGGCAGAAATATATATGTATACACACACACACACACAGTCTAAACAGAAGGAGTGAGGGGATATTATTACAAAGTGAGATTTGAAGGTCCAAGATTTAGGGATGTGACATTACTTTATGGACCACAGATGGAAACAAGATCTGGTCAAAAAAAGCAAAACGATCCAGTCGAGTGGGACAAGTTAAACACCCAAAGTCCGTATTTTTAGTAGGTAAAGACAATCCCCCCCAGATCTTCTCTAAAATGTGCAGGAGTTTTAAAATGGCCCAAGACAGAGACACACATTCCCCCACTGCCCAAACCAGTTCAAAGGCAGCCCGCCCTCCACCCATCGTCCAAATCCACCTTCCCACCCTTTGTGCCAGCTTGCTGTGATACTGAACCATCTCACCTGGATGGTGTCAACGGGGTACGGTGTGAAGGCTGTGTGAGACAAGGACTGGGTAGGGCCTAGAAGGTTCCGGACCCCGTTGAAGTCATGTTTGTACTCCTTGATGGGATCCACACGCATCTTTTCGCGGGGTAAAAGGGCTTCGTAGCAGGGGGCGTAGCCCGGTGGGGGCAGGAACTTGAAGTCCCCGTGACGGCCCCCTAGGAGGAACCGTGCTCTGGCAGGGGAAGAGAAAGAAAGTCAGATGCTAACATGGGTCGCGCTCATACCCTCCTCCAGCAGATGCTCTGATCAATAGCACTTTCCCAGGTTACCTTGTTCCATCAGGCCCCAACTGGTTTCAAAAATCTAGCCTTCTGATTCGTCGGGAGTCCTTTTAGAATGCCTTCCTTGGTCAAACCTTCCCCTGTCCTGCACAAGCTAACAGCTTTGCGTCTGCTCTCTTCGCACCAAGCCAGGCCTGTGAGGTTTCCCACTTCAGAAGGAGACCTCCTGCCCCCGCTGGCCCTTCCACTGCTCAGATGAGCGATGGGGGGATGTTGGATGTCCCCACAACAGACACCCTGTGAGGTAGGCGGGGCTGAGAGAGCTCTTTCCAGAACTGTCCTTGAGAGAACAGCTCTGACAGAACTATGGCTTGCCCAAGGTCATCCAGCAGCTGCAAGTGGAGGAGTGGGGAATCAAACCCGGTCCTCCCAGATTAGAGTCCGCGCACTTAACACACTACACCAAACTGGCTTTCAGGGTTTGTCGAAACAAAACCTGGCTCTCCATCTTTGCTGTGAGCGCTTTCAAAGGGGGAAAAAAAATAAGTAGCCTTTCCTGTCGTGCCTCTTTTCCTGTTAAAATGCGAGCAACAACGCAAGGAGCTCCGCTTCAATGAGTGAAACTGAGCAGAGTTTGACAGGCCGAGCGCCCGCTTTCTTCCCCGCACGACCCCGAGGCAAATGGAGGCTGACCGACCCGGTAATGTATATTTTGTAGATGGACAGAGATGCGCGAATCTTGTCACATCTGTTTCCCCCTCTCTCTTTCCCACCCTACCACGCGCCCCTCCGGAGCTGGGCTTACTTGATACCAGCAGAGAAGCTGACCACGGGGAAGAAGAGCCCGTCCAAGTTAAAGTTTTCAAACATGCCTTGGACGGGAAAGCCATTGATGCGGAAGGAAATACTGGGCACGCTCAAGTCGAGACAGCAGCTCACCACGTCGTCCGCTCCCAACATGTGCTGCCCGGGGGAGGTCACAAACCGAGCCACACGGCCTGCACCGAGGAAAGATGTGGCCAGGAATTAAAACCGGGGGGGGGGGGAGTTGAAGACCCTCCCCGAGGACCAGCTACACAAACAAAACAGAGAAGCCGGGGGAGAGGTCCTCTTCACCAGGGGTCATTTTGTAGAAAAAGAGATGCAGGAGCTCATTAGCATAACTTATTTGCATCTGCCACACCCCCTGACATCACCGGGAGTGTGTCAGAAGGCAACACCCACCGCTCAGGCTCCACTGGACTGTTTTGGATTGCTAGCTATGGAGGGGGGGACGTGTAGATGTGTCCTCGCAGAGGAGGGAGAGCTTGTACCTGAATAAAACTTGGTCTTAAAGGTGCCACTGGACTGTTTTGGACTAGGGAGCTGGGGGGGGGGCTCTGCAACTTACCTGGCTGCTTCTTGCTCTGACTGAGGGCTGCTGGGAGAAGGGACAGGGCTTGATGCATGTGCCCGCCCCCTGGGCTCTTTACTGCCGGAGCTCCACTCCTGTGCGCTCCTGCAGGAAGTGACCCCTGCTCTATACTTAAATTAAAAACGTGTCTTATGTTTTGCATTAAGAGGAGCAAAGTTCGGCGATGCATTCTAGGTCGCGAAAATCGGTGATTTGTTCCACTTGGAGGCGGGAAGGGCTGTCAAAGAGCAGCAGGCGTACGGGGGCCAGTGTTTCCTCTAAGCTGAGTGAGCGTGAGCCAGCTCACCGTTCCTTAGCCTCCGGCTCACACGTTTTCGTCTCCGCTCAGGAAGGAGGGCTCCAGATCAAACTGATCGATGCAGCAGCCAAACCGCTCGCTCACAACTTTAGTGGCAGTAGCTCACAAAGTAGAATTTTTGCTCACACGACCCCGCAGCTTAGAGGGAGCATTGATGGTGACCCTGCTGGGTTTTCAAGTCAAGGGACAAACAGAGGTGGGTTTGCCATGGCCGGCTTCTACGTGGCGACCCGGGACTGCCTTGACGGTCTCCCATCCAAATACCAACCGGGGCCGACCCTGCTTAGCTTCTGAGATGTGAAGAGATTGAGCTAGCCTAGGCCACTGAGGCCAAGACAAGGGACAAATAGAGGTGGTTTGCCCTTGCCTGCCTCTGCATAGCAACCCTGGACTTCCTTGGCGCGCTCCCATTCACATACTAACCAGGGCCGACCCTGCTTAGCTTCTGAGATCGGATGCGATCGGGCCATCCTGGGCCATCCAGGTCAAGGCAAGAGACAAACAGAGGTTGTTTGCCCTTGCCTGCCTCTGCGTAGCAACCCTGGGCTTCCTTGGTGGGTCCCCCATGAACACACCAACCAGGGCCGACCCTGCTTAGCTTTTGGGATCGGATGCGATCGGGCCAGCCTGGGCCATCCAGGTCAAGGCAAGAGACAAACAGAGGTGGTTTGCCCTTGCCTGCCTCTGCGTAGCAACCCTGGGCTTCCTCGGTGGTCTCCCATCCACATACCAACCAGGGCCGACCCTGCTTAGCTTCCGAGATCTGGTGAGACTGAGCTCTCCTGGCCCACCCAGGTCAAGGGAAGAGACTAACAGAGGTGGTTTGCCATGGCCTGCCTCTGCGTAGCAACCCTGGACTTCCTTGGTGGTCTCCCATCCACATACTAACCAGGGCTGACTCTACTTAGCTTCTGAGAGCTGATGAGATCGGGCCAGGCTGGGCCACCCAGGTCAAGGCAAGAGACAAACAGAGGCGGTGTGCCATTGCCTGCCTCTGCGTAGCAACCCCGGACTTCCTTGGTGGTCTCCCTTCCAAGTACTAACCAGGGCCGACCCTGCTTAGCTTCTGAGATCTGATGCGATCGGGCCAGCCTGGGGCCATTCAGGTCAAGGCAAGA